TTAGGGCAGTTGCACTGAGGTCGGACACTTAAGTTGCGGGCGTTATCGACAGAACGCTGCGAATGCGCGGGCGGTTTTCGTGTATCGGAACATTTGCTTTGCTCTATCGACTTTGTGTATATTTCCTGTCTTTATGGGACGGCGTTGCGTACGATCTCTGGATTCGACCACTTGTTCTTCATGTTTCTGGTCTAGATCTTTCAAAGAGCACCCATACATTTCGCTCGGCCTTCTCACTTCACTAGCTTCACTTTGTGATTCCTTATGTCATTGCCTATTTCGAGTCCGTTTGTAGATTATTGTGCAGGGTGGACTAAGAGGCGGAATAAACACAGTGTGAAGACAAAACCGCGCTCAATGAGGCGCAACGGAGGCGCTTAGTCAAGTCGAAGGGGAATTACGAACTGCCCAGAAGATCCACGTCGCTTTCCGTGGTCGACTTGCTCTTGCTTGCTCACCTACGCCTCATCGATGTATCCAGAGTCAATACCCACCGCTTTCGTCTCTACCTGCGGAGTATGCACAAGCTGCGCGCATCCCTCGTCATACTCGACCCCAGAATCTGCACTGCTTATACAAGGTATGCTTCCAACGCGGGCATTTCCGTCCCGCCCCAAAGCTCGGGCGGCTGTCCGACCCCTGCACCCTCGTCATACTCTTCGCCGCTCGTTCCCTCGCCCTGCTTTACTCTCGAGCCCATCGACCCCTGCCGCTTCCGAGGTCTGTTCAACTGCCGCATCCCGAGCGCTTTCTGCGGTAGACGGTGCAGCCTCCGAAACCGTGTCCGTGGATGTTCCACCCGCCCGCGCGGCTGCGAGCCGTCGCAGGTACTCCTCCCTATCGCGGCCGAAGTAAGAACAGTCCGAGCGCAGCAACCACTCGGCTTGTTCGGCGACGTCGAGGGTGATCGTGGTGCCGTCGATGGTGTGCTCCGTCGGTACGGACAACACGTCCGCACTCGTGACGAGGTCCGAGTGGAAGTTCGTGAACTGCAGTTTGCCTGAATCGAGCGCCCACGTGAGCTGCGTGCCGCGTAGCACAGAGCATAAAACCCTCTTCGGGACCTCGAAGTCTTGGCTGCGCAGCGGTGTACGGCGGAGGAGGAGGCAGCGCATGTGCGGGGAGTCGACGACGGGTCGCAAGACGTCCCAAGGGAGGGTATCCACGGTTTCGACGTCCGCGAATGAGAGACCGAGTTCGATTTCTTCGACATGCGCCAGTCGGAGCCTCGCATCTTGGCCTGCGCTCGGTCGGCAAACCTTGACCCTAACACGGACAACATCGTCCACAGACTCGCCTGTTACAGGTGTGCAGCAGCAGATTTCTACCACGTCTAACGAAAGAGTGAGTTTCGTGGCACGGCTTGCACCAGTGAGAAGACGTACCGAACATGCTGCCGTTATGGTAATCAAGCTCCACAACCGCCCCTTTGAATGTGTCTGGTATCAATGCCAGCAGCGCTTGCAGAGTCGCGCTCCACGTGCGGTCGTCGAGACCCATGCGACGACCAGCCGCAACGACGTCGGCAGCTAGCGCTGCTTGGGCGGAGACCGCCATATCCTTACACCCCGAGATATCGCACCTCAGGAGGCCCGATGATGCGCGTCGACGAGCTCTGCGTGACTGGACGACCGGCGACGGGTCAAGGAAGGTGAGTCGGTGGCAGGCGCAGTTCTCGAGTGCGGGAAAGTTGTCGACGAGCCGCGCGAGCTCGGTCGTGCTCGTGAATACAACGCCGTGGATGGTAAGCTCTGAGAGTCGGACGTAAGATGGAGTGACACTCGGTATCGATTGAAACGGAGCCCAACGGCCGACCATTGGTGTAAGGTCGTCCGCGCGGTTCACGACGGTGCACTCAAATAGTGTCTCTCGGAGTCGGGCGGAGAGTCCATGGACGTGGTGAAGCCATGGTTTTGCCTCCATAGCTTCTTGGTGGATCCTTATACGCCAGATGGCCCCGGACAGAGACGAGGACGCGAACCGGGGGCTGCAAACGATGTTCTTCAGAAAGCGCACATCTTCGGCACTACGCAATTCGAGGATTGAGAAAAGGAGAGGTCTGATGGCATCGGACCAGTGCTTGCATACGAGGCTGGGCGCAACGAGCTCGCGTTTCAAGCGACGACGTTCGTCTGAGTCATGGCCAAAAGGATCAGCTAGAGTGATACAGTTGAGAGTGTACGATAGTATTTCAGGCGGCAGATCGGCTCCCGTTGTGCGTGACATCTTTCGGGGCGGGGAGACACACGCAGAAGAGTTTGCGAGGTGCGAGAGGGTGGCGTATGCGGGTGGGCGATGCACGACGTACCTACAGCGCTATCTCACGGCCAGAGGCGCACAGCTACAGCCATCTGCCGAGTGTGTACAAGGTTCAGAAAGACACAATCTTGCAGAGGCGCCCCGCGCGGCAGTTACGCTTCCCAAGTGTGTGGTGGCAGCGACAAAGCATCGAGGCATGGCGCACAGACGACCGACGCTGTCAGTGAAGCTTGGCCCGATCATCGGCACAAAGGATCTGATGCGCCCCGCCAGAGCACGTGTCTCCCGCAGCTTCCGCCAGGCGTCCGCGCGCGACGCGCGTATCAGCTTGCAAGCCAGCATCCACTTTGCGCCCAAACGACCTTCGCACTAGACGACTTTGTGCCCCGCGCTCACCTGGAGTTCGACAGTCGCACGTGGAACAAAGACTTTCGATGGTATCTAGGTATCCGATAGGGTGTCATCTGGCGTTTTTGAGACTGAGGACGGCACATTGCTTGGTACGTCGTCGGAAGCTATCAGTCATGACTCGCGCAAAACTCACCGTGGACTCCCCATCAGACCTGGCTTGAGCCATCTCCAGAAGACAATATTACGAATGTGTATACGAACGTCGATGCTGCCGAACGCAAGGTTAGGTCTCGGAGCCGTTTACGTACCATCAGCAAAACCGCCAGCTCTTGAGGAGCGTCTTGAGCGTCTTGGATAACATGCTCAAGACGCCCAAGACCCCAAGACATCCGGTGTTAGCCAAGCTATGTCGTTTGTCTTGGGAAGACGCCTGGTCTTGGCCAAGACTCTCAAGACAGTCAACCAAGACAAGCTCAATGCAGCATGCTTATGGGTAAGACGGACATATTGGCTCAATCACACTCATATAAAACAGCTACAAATTGTATTTGTATACTTCTACTAAGACTGTGTACGTGTACTACCTGCTTAACTTGACAATGACTACAATGAAGGCAGATTGCATGTGGCTTAACACAGGTGTACGAAGTTTCAAGGCTGGCATGAGATCTTCAAGTGTCAGTGAGAGTAGCGGCCAGTGGGCGGAGTACGAATGAGAACGTACCTCATCCGACCCAACGCACGAGCTCCTCCACCTTCACGACCTTCGCATTTTGCAGGGTTCTTGGTGTTTCATATACGTGGACAGAAGGCCACAGGGTGCCCACAGCGGTTGTAATTCAGAACGTGCTGCTTGTGCGGGCACGCAATGGTCTGTCCGCTCCACCAATCAGAGGGCAGCGCCCAGCGGCCTTCTGCCCATGCTCACCGTCGCCATCGCCCGCTTTCACAGGCTAATCATACTGGGCTGCCTGCAACCTACCAAAGGGCGCCTGTGTCCTGGATGTTTCGACACCGTATGCCGACATGCTCTACAGAATTTCAGGAAGGAGGTCTGTGAAGGTACCAATGATACAAGCTCAGGCAAACCGAATTCTAGCTGATCG